CTGGACCCGAGCCGCACGGGGGCCCTAGACAAGGAGCGGCGCTGGCTGTACCCCCACCCCACGGCTTGCAGGGCCCTAACGGCCGAAGAAGCGTTTAGAAACGGGAAAAAGGGCAGCGGCCCACACATTGTCGTACCTAGCCATCGACGAGCGAACCAACGTCATTTCAAGTGTAATTCTTTATACTCTTACATTCGATAACCTAAAAATCGGAAATTTTTCACTCGCAAGATGAATATTTCAGAATTTATCAAGAGAAGATAAATTGGTATTAATATTAGCAGCGAGTAGGAACTGGCAGAAAATCGATTCGAAGGTTCTCCATAGAAAGCCTGGGTATTATTGCACACAGGTGTAATTTCGATCCTATCTATAAATTAGACCGAGCTATCGCATCATGTCGCTAGTTTCATTCACTTTTCCAACGAATTTCAGGCACGTTTGCAGCGATACGAAAATTTCACCGTAATGGCGGCTGTGAGACCCGTGCGGAAATTTCATCGAGGGGACAAGCGCTTAATGAGCCGCGCGTGTTATTCCCCTGAATTATAAATTATAATTCCGACGCGTGTTCCAGCTGATTTGGAATAGAATTTGCCGGCAGCTGACGAAGGTGTTGCGAGTGTGTTTTTTCGACGTTGAAGAAATTTCATCTGACGTAGAAAGAACGCAGCAGAAAGAACGAACGTACAAAGTTGATTTATTTACTCCGGATTGGACGTCGTTATGCTGATAAGTTAATCTCGTTCGGTAATTTAGCTGCAATAATTATCTTCGTAATTATCGCGGCTGTGATATTAATAATTTCGATGTTATATTTAATAAATATACAACAATTCAGCTATAATTTCAATTTTTACTTATTTTCTGTATTTCGAAATTTTATACTATACCAATGAAATTTTAAATTCTTAATTAGAGAAATCTACGATACTCGTCGCATGAATATTCAAAATTTAACAATTTGCAAATTAATTCTACACAAAGGAGGATGATAAAAAAAGCATCCTAAGGAACGAAAAATGTAATTGGCATTTTTCTTGGACATGTTGAGTATGACCATACTTATAATTTAATATTCCGTCTCGTTTTCTTTGGACGATGGTCTGTTCGTAAATTAACCACTTAGAAACTCAGGTTGAGTATTATTTACAAAGATTGTTGTACATTAGTGTTTAATAAAAACAAGAAATGACAAATTAATCGAAACAAGGAACTCTTTGATGACACGATGCTTATATTCTAAGCAATCAGAAACCAATAGTTATTTATTCTCGAAGTGATAAAAATTATAATAAACTATCGTAAATATAATAAAGTAATCGTCACGACAGGGATACAATAAAAACGTAAGACTCTAACAGAATTTGCATTCCTTAACTGTGTATCCACTATGAAAGCCAGAGGAAAAAGTATCATCTTACATATCAGTCTAAACATATATGTATGTGTTCTGTCGAACTACGCGTAGGTTTAGAGACGTCGACTGTCCGCGTAGTTTTACGGAGAATTGAAGTCTGATCATCTGCACTGCGTGTCAATTGTCGTATATTGTCGTTAGAATAATAACAAACGAAGTAGGTCGTGTGTAAAGACTTAGTTGTTTACTAAGAGACAGTGTTTTTCCAGAAAAGGATAGAATATGTATATGTCTCGGGGAGACAACAGTAAAAAAAACTAATTTCTTGTTGTTTCATAGGTATAACACATCTTATTGTAAGAAAAATAAACTTAGGATACGATAAAACGAAATTGTTGCAGTAATTGATCTAATTAGCTATACGTAGGCTCTCCTCTATATTCAGTTAACTCAATCATTCGATTGCGTACGTATGTACACATACATATTATTCACGCATGCACATACCGTGAAACTGTAGCTGTGTAGCTCGCAGAGACACGCTTCATTCCCTACAAGACTATAATCGCGCAGTATAAGCGACGTTCGTCGAGGCACTCGTTCGACTGCCTCGTAAACACCGACTGAGGACGAGTCGTTCTGCCCGATTTCTGTACGCTATACGCTCGCAACTGTTCTGGGAAAAATTCGAGGCCTTAACTTCTTCGAACTCGTGATATTTCTTGCGAGCCTGGGTCGCGGTACGTACATCGAGCTAAACAGAAGCTAGCTGCCTGTTCGCGCACAGAAAAGAGTTTTTATATTACTTTCATTGGCAAAACCGAGAACAAACGTCAGGCACGTGGTCTTAATACAACACAGTACGCCATACTTTCTTTCGCTCGACGCATGCGCGATCGCCGCTCCCAACGCCGCTCGGCGGACGCACGCCGATCACGGTAAAAAGACGCGCCACTTTTAAATTCAAATCGCCACACTGTCCTTTTCAGAGTAAAACTATCGCGAGTTGCTCTCGAGAGTATCTCTCGCGAGTGGACACTGCGTCTGAGAGTGACTGTCTGAGAGCATCGCTCAACTCTCTGAGAGTTACGACTCGAATAAACAGTTGCTTTGCTTCTAAGTTAGTTAAGAAATGAAAATTCTGTTAGAGTCTTACTTTTTTATTGTATCCCTGTCGTGACGATTGTTTTATTATATTTACGGTTTTTATTAGTTTTGGTTAATTATTTTTGGCTTTTATTAAACACTAATGTACAACAATCTTTGTAAATAATACTCTATATGAGTTTCTAAGTGGTTAATTTACGAACAGACCATCGTCCGAAGAAAACGAGACGGAATATTAAATTATAAGTATGGTCATACTCTTACCTTGAACCGCATTTCTCAAAACTTTCCCAACATGTCCAAGAAAAATGCCAATTACATTTTTCGTTCCTTAGGATCCGTAGAATCATGCTGTAAAAAATATTTCGTTCCGGCCGTATGCCAAAATTGGCCTTTCTTTAACATCCTCCTTTCATTTAGCCAACTTCCATAATTTTATTCCAAAAACTTTGATCATCTATCTTAAAAAACAAACATGTTCAACGAAAAAGGACACTGAAACACGAGAACAGAAGTATGCTGAAAGATCGAAGGGGGCAAAGAATCGCAGACAAGCTAAACGTTTCTCTTAATCCAGTCCAATGAAACAAACCGTCGAACCAATTACACACCAATTATTATCAGTTACACAATCTCTCTCCGTCCACTTGTCACCGTTTAATCAATTCAACCAGCGTGTGCGCGCGTGTTCCCTTTTAACACTTTCGATACTCTTTCTAAGAAATGGACAGAGAGACGATGGAGGTCAAGAAATTTCACCAGAGGCAATTTCTATTCGACGCACAGCCGGAACGGAGAGAATCTCGTAACAAAACCGATTGCTTTAGCGAGGCAACTATGTTTCACGTACTGCTCGACACGGTCACTTCTACAGTTTCGCTGATCGCGTTCATAGAAACGGATCAGTGGACGGTGACACGCGATTCCACCGACAATTCGAGCGACACTGTGCTGGCAACAGATGGAATCGTGACAGGCTTCGTGAAGAGAGGTTTAGGTAGGGGAGTCAGAAATCCACGAATTCCCAATCAAACAAGGCCTACGTCCACTTTCCCACCTCCCTGTACATTGGCCACACGTTCTAACAGCGTGAAGACGCTTAGGGCGAAAATGACGAGCTGTGAGAGGGGAAGGGGCAGAGTGTCTTTCACGATCTTCGAATTCGTAATGTTTACTTCCTTTGTTTCCTTTTTTTTTTATCTTGGTAGCGAAGTGTTGTGAGTTTGGGTCGGTTTCAGGGTAGGGAGAGAGGACTGTGTAATTGGAAAGTAACAGTTTTGTGAGTGTGTGAGAATGAAAATTGGAGGATTTTTAGAAATAAGTTTGGAGCAAAGAGTATGGTTGATTATTGTATTTTTCGGATGTATTTAGCTGGTTAAGCGTGGACAGTAAGTTAACTGTATTTTAGAACATTTTTAATTTGAATGTTCAAAATATATACAAAGGAGTCAGTTTAAGTTCTAGAATTGTCAATAAATGGAGGATATTTGAAATAAATTTGGAACGAGGATCATGGCTGATTATTGTACTTTTCGGATGTATTTAATTAGCAAAGTGCGAAGAATAAGTTAATTGTATTACAAAATATTTTTAATTAAAATTTTAGAGTTGCCAGGATCTGAAAATACATTTTCCTTTTTCAATCACTTCGTTATTTATTTATCCACGACTTATTTTCCCATGTCCGACCAAATCGTCAGACCTGTATTATTCACCAACTTCAAACCTAATCCTAATCCCATGAAATTGAATTAAAACCTAAACCTAATTCCTACGGCACGGAAGATGATGGTCTTCTCTTATTCAACATCAAAGCGAAGATTAAAGCTTAAGCTCGAGTAAGAATAAAACACGCGTTAATTCAACTAACTATTCCGTCGTAATCTTACAAAGCAACGTTCAATCTTAATCCAGAAAACAAGCCTTCCAACTCCATCGATCCAAATCTTGCAAACTCAAATTCCTCGTAAATTCGACGTTGAAGAATTTCCAAAATTCTCTACAGCTACCATCTTTCCCCCTTTCTTCGACGATCGATCTCTCCTTTTTCTGGGAAAAGGGGACGAAAGCTCGAGGGAATTTTCGCCGGCGAAAAAGGGACCGGACAGAGCCTCGCGCGGGGCCAAAACGGCCACAAAGTGAACTCAATTTCGAGTTCCCTCTGACCAGTTCACCAACAGAGCTCCCCGGTTGGCCGGAGGTTTGCGAAAAGGGGGGAGAGAGGACGATGATTAAACGCTAAACACCGGCTTATCCTGACAGAGGCTGCGCGACTATAGATCATTTAACGGGCCGGCGCACCTTAACACTCGACGTCACGAATCGAAACTTGCGTGCAACTAGTTAGCCGTAGTTCCGGTACAACACGTTTTACCGGTGAATTTCTGTTGTTAATCGAGAAACTCGCCGACGAGCCCCCGGACTATCCGCAGCCTCTAATTACTCGTCCTCCCGTAGGACCGGTGCTTGTGTATCGTGTATCGTTTAATTGAAATAGACGGAATTGTGATAGAGAATATTCACGAGGACTCACCTTTAATTTGCGCCTTGCGTTGAACTTCTTCAAACAGTCCACAGTCTCTTGTCTGTGGACCACCGAAGCGACACGCTCACGTTGCTGTAACATAGAAGAAACAGGAACGATTGATAATTTTGCAGTTTTCGTAACGAAGAGAAGAAGATTTGTGGAAGAAACTTAGACACGAAAAGTGGAATTTTGTCATTTTTGAATTGTGCAAAGGATGGTCAGTCGGGTTTCTTTGGGATAATTTCAAGACGAATGGAGAGATTTGAAAATTAGAGAAAATTAGAGATTATGTCAGCTTTCATTTCGTATATAAAAAGAAACTCTTTCGTGGTTTGCAATATTCTTTTTTTTTTTTAGTTTTGAGTGATGGATGGAAATGTTGAATTGATTTTTACTTACACAGATCCATGGGTGCTTTAGGGCCTCGCTGGCGGTGATCCTTTTGCTCGGATTCACCGTCAGCATCTGATTGATTAGGTTCTTGGCTTCCGGTGTGACGGTGTCCCATTCTGGGCTTGGGTACTATGCAAACAAATAGCGGAGAAAAAATTTACCAAGTGTCGGCGAAAAATTGTAATTTTATTCCTCCTCTTTTTCCATTTTCTACTGCAATTTAATCTAATATAGTTCAACATTCACCGTCGCTATCGATATATCAAAAGAAGAATTCCAATTAAAATGTACGAAACGAAATTTCAAGCAAAAGCAAATTCCCTCGACTTAACGAAACAGACTTAGACTTAACTTCAATAATCCACGGAACAATTTACCGCGGGGATAAAAAATTCAAAAAGCAATCAAGAGTTTCCTGCAGCAAGTACGAACGATCGATCGACTTTCACCGAAGGAAGATCTTCCACCGAAAAGGGCGTATTATCTCGTAAAAATTTCACCGGAATAAAGAATTGGATCGATCGAACCGTACGAACGAATAGAAGCTGCGAAGGAAATCGAGTCGAGGAAGTAGTATAAGCAGCTTGGTCCTTACGTCGTACGATCCCGCCTTGATCAGCGCGTACAGTCGATGCTGATCCTCGTCCCAGAATGGCGGATAACCGACCAGGAGGATGTAAAGAATGACACCGCACGCCCAGATGTCGACTGGCTTGCCGTATGGTTCTTTCTTGAGGACTTCCGGACTGAGGTAACCGGGCGTCCCGGCGAAACCTTTTCACGGATCATTCCAAATTTCAGGCTCGGTTCGAGAGGTTTTCGTCGACGTTAGCGTTAAAGTGCGGTGGGAAGAAAATTTGACAATCTCTGCGCTCTTTTCTTTTTAATTCTTACTTTCGAGACGTTTTCTCCCCTTTTTTATTTCACACTTTGCGGAATTTTGAAAGTGCCTTCGAGTGGATTTGGAGAACGTAGAAATTGAAAATTTGCGAATTTGGGTCTTTGATATGTTTGTATGTTGAAAGTGTTTTCCAGTGTTTTTCGTGAACGTTGAAATTGAAAATTTGCGAATTTGGATCTTTGATATCTTTGTGTGTTAATATTTATAGGCGGTCGAGTTGAATGCTTAAAATTGAGAAAATTAAAATTTCGAAATTCGGGCATAGAAATTTCAAACGTCGAAATGGAAAATTTGCCATTTTGGATCTGCGATACTTTTGTACATTTACATTTAAGATTGATAGAATGAAAATTTCTAAATTCGAGCACGGTAATTTCAATTCAACGAGACTTCGAACCCTCCAAATCTCTAACTTCAGAAATCGGGCGGCAAATTTTTTCGTATTCAAATGTCGTCTAAGAAATTTCACTTTGCAATCCGCGCAATATTTCCGCGAGTTCGCTAGAATGTCAAATGTTCCAGAAACAAACGGACAAGTCGAAAGGGGGGAAAAAATTCATGGCAAGGAGAGAGTACATTTTCGCACAGACATGGAAATCGTTGATAATTTCAGGAGGTTCGGAGAAAATCGAAGCTAATTTCGTCCCCATCTACATTCCAACTCGAGCAGAGATCGAGCATTACGCGAAGAGAGCACACGACGTCTTGGAACTACTCAGCGATCTAAGTTTCGAACGTATCTCGCCGAGGATAGTTTGAATTTCGCGCCGGTTCCAAGAGGAACAGGAGGAGAGTGCAGCCTCGACGTTGTCACAGTGACGACGAGGAACGGAATTTCGAGCTATCGGCTTTTCGAGAACGGAAACGAACGTCAGCGCGTTTCAAACCGGCTGTCCGATAGACTGGAACCGAGTATGGAAAGTGGCGAACGTTGTTCCAGTGATTCTAGGCCGCGAAATCATTCCTGCCTCTTTCCACCATTTTTCTGCAGAAGAGTATACAGGTACTTGCAGGCATTGCTCTATCTTTGCTCGGTGTGAATGATACTTTACGTGAATTTAGTCGTGGTTTCGTTGAAGGATGGAGAGTAGTGAAGTAATTGTACGTGCAATTTGTTGGATAAGATTTCGAGTACGGTAATATCTCTCTTACTGTCGCTACTCGAGATACTGGAAGTTTCTGTGCAATGAAATGTTCAAGTATTTTTGGGTCGATATTTCGAAGAATTTCTACGTCAAATTTCTCATGGAACCGAATATTCAAGCAACGATACTTAGAAGCCTTTGGGCAACCAAGTGTTCAAGTATTTCCATATCGGATCGTTAGTAGAATAAAATATTCAAGCATTACACGTGAAAAATCCGAAAAATCTCTTCAATACCAGCAATTTCTGCAGGAACACATTTAAACGTGGCCAATCTGAAGCTAGAAGAAGAAAGGTTCGCTTCACAGCCGTACGAAATTCCTCCAAACATCGCGTACCCAGCGAACAAATTTTACCACAACCCATCCACCCACACACGCTTCAATCCGCTCGAATTGTTAGGCTGGGAGCAGGGAAAAACAACATTCAATCTCCGGAACAATATGGAGGAATCTCGTAGGACGAGCCACCGTCGGTTCCAACTCAACCTCACAGAGGTTGCTTTCACAGAGAGAGAGTAGTTCTTTGACCGCAAACACACAATACGGAAAATCTCCGAAGAGGGAGAATCTATTTTGCCTGCGAAAACGCGGAAACTTTTCCAATAGAGCACCGGCGAACTTCCGCCGCGGAGTTTCCTCCGCGTAAAAACAAAACGTCGAGGAACAGCCGGTCGAACGAGGCCGTGACACGACGTGTATAAACGCATTTCTCTGTGTCTCTGCAACCGTTGCGGCCCACCTATATGTACGTACATACGTACCGTACACTACACACTATAAGCGAAAACTTTTCCGGGATACTACCACTGTGCGCGAATTTTTTGGGGAGGAAAAAAAACAGGAGTTTCAAACTCTCTCTCTCATCGAGGACGAAATTTCTACTCCACTCCTCTCTCTCTCACTCTATTCTGAGATGAATGGATAATACACGTTGTGACGGGTTCATTCGATTGTGACAGAAATTTTCGTGGAGGAAAATGGCCGAAGAATAGTACTATTTTTTAAATTCAACCCTTTGCTTTGTAGTTTCTATTAACCCTTCGGACTACTCCTTTGTCGAGTGTGACTGTTAGGGCTTGCGGTTGATCTTTCGATCGTTCAAGCGTTGCCGATTTTTGCACGTGTGTGCCGACTAATGATCTAAGGCTTCGAAGGACCAGTTTCTTGATTGAAACACCAGTGTTTCTGCTGGAGTCTCTGCGGTTTCCCTCGACGAAGACTCCTATTTTCCTAAAAACACCTTGATTCGTGATTTTTCCTTTTCTAAATCACCAATCAGTTTACTCCGGTGTATCACAACCTCCCTCAATTTCGCCCTTAGCGCGTTATCTTAGGGTGGGATAGACAACGACCGGAGAAAGTGTTCGGTGGACGGATGCGTGGGAATCCTGTGGAATCTCCGCTTTTCTAGGCTTTGTTAAAGTCAAGTGGTCCATCGACATTGGCAAAAGTCCTGGGCCACTTTTCTAATTTTCCCTTAGGAGACTCTAGGATTTATGGCAGGGTCTGGTCCTAGAGACTAAGTGTCGCAGGCAACGCAATAAACACTTGTGGTGTTTTTGAGAAGAGCGATATTTGCCTGCGACGGCGACCACTTGACTCGCTGCCATAAATCCGGCTACAGGACACGCCTTAACAGTGACTCGACGTCAATTTTCAATTGCCGGTTTAACCCTTGTGTGGGCAACCAAAATGTTCACGGTTGCTCCCCGTTTTAATATTGAAAATTGTTTGCATAAAGTTTTATTTTCGAAACGTATGTATATCGACGTAAAAATTTCCAAAAAGCGGGGATCTCGAGCAATTTTACCATAATTTCACGAGCACGTACAAAATTGCTAAAGGAAAATATAGAAATGGGTACTCGGGTACCTGGTTGCGTACACAAGGGTTAAATACACTACCGGCCAGAAGTTTCGAATCACCTCCCACTTTTCGTCGATATTAAATCTGCTGCTAATTTTTCATAGATTTCAAGTTTATCTCAATTCTGCGTTTATCAGTTGATTCGAACGATAAAAAATTCTCAAAGTCGCTCGACATTTTTCTCGAAATTTTTGTGTAAATTGCAATGCTAAGTGGTTCCAAACATATGGTCCTTAATGCTGTTTTCAATATAATTAGTAAAAAAAAAAAAAAAAAGGCGGTCTTTTGAACCGCCTTTCAAGTGAGACTCTTAAAATAACAGGGAGTTATTGAAAAAAAAATTTGTAGCTCAAAGGGTTAATCACTCTCGTAGCGTAGATTAACGATGAGTTGGTATAAATCGCGCGTTAAACGAAGTAAAAAAGGGGAAGAGAGGAGGAGGGTGAAAATGTCGAATTTAAATGGCGAATACCTAAAAATTGTCGAGAGGAAGAGAGATAGGGGCGAAGGACCGAAATTTTATTTCTGGAACTCCCTCCGCTCTTTCCACCACCGCGGAAATGCAAACGAGTTTAAATAAACCCGGCCCCCGTCGATTCGTCGACCTATGAACGAGCTTGTCTCTCCGTTCTCTTCCTTCCTTTTTTTCCAAACGCGCGTATGCAAATTTATGTTTCATTTCTGCCTATCTGCGATTTCAGTTGCCTTTATTTCACCTTTTTTTCCGCCGTAGAGAATGCCTCGAATTAATGAATACTGTTACGATTTAATTTTACCACCAAATATTTCGTATATCGTTTCATTTTTTTTTCCCTTTTTTTGAAGAATTAATCAGTGTGTTTTTTATGATTTTTGTTTTTGGTGATTGTGTGCGCCTGAGTGTATATTTTGTTCGTTGTTTTAATATTGAGTTGGGTAAGAGAGATTTTAATATTGAAAAGGTTAATTTGTCACAGGAGGGAGAAATTTTCTTTAACCATTCGAATACTCTCGGAGAATAGAATTAATCAATTCATTTCTCGTGCCAAAATACGCATAAATGGACGTGTCTGGTGAATTAAAATCTGCCTGCAATAGCAGACAACCTGTACGGAAATACGTCGAATTAGAAATTGAAATATATTGTGTTCCTACTGAGCGCGATGCATTGATAGATGGGGAACGAAATTGCCTCGAATCGTAAGAGAAGGACTGACATTTAAATACCTAGAATCTTATTGTAAATTACATCTGGAAGTCCTTTGAAAAAGGGGTTGCTTTCGAGTGTCAATTTTTCTTACAGCACAAAAGAAACTACTTAACTACTTGAAAAACAAGAAAAACAGACGATCTTTCTTGACTAATAAATAAAATAGTTGAGAAAGTAGAAAAATTGGCGACAAATAAAGCAGTTCAGAAATAGAGCAACTGACGATAAATAAAAAAAAAAACAGAAAAACTGGAAATAAATAGAAAAAGTTGGCGACAAATGAAATAATTAAAATAGTTTAACAAATAGAAAAATTTGCAACAAACGAATCAGTAGAGAAATAGAAAAAATTGGCAACAAATGACATAGTTAAGATAGTTAACGAACAGAAAAAGTTTGCAACAAATAAAACCGGCAAAAGTACAGTGGAAAAAAAGAATGAGAAAGAGGGTGCACTCACCAAACCATGCTTGGATTTCTCCCTGTACCTCGATCGCCAATCCGAAGTCCGCTAATTTCACAACCGCGCCCTTCGCCTTACTTGCGAGGAGTAAATTTTCGGGCTGCAACAGGAAGCAGACTCGTCGACATTCCGGCTCACTCTTCGCACAAACCGTTGCCGTTGTCCTGCATTTTTACGCGGCCATGCTGTAGGTTGATCCACCAACAGGAGATATATACGTGCATGCTTGACACACATTTGCAGGTCTACCTTCTACGCTGCGCTGCTTTTCCCCTCCCCCTTTTTTCCCTGCTTCGTCATTTAAAATTTTCTTTCTTCCTATTTTTTCTTTTTTCCCCTCTTTTTTCAATCGTGTTCCCTCTCTCTCGGTTGCCACGAAACGCCACTTTTCGTACCGCCGCGTGCTCTCGCGTTTCTTTTCACGTTCTACCCCCTTTTTTTCCTTTTTTATTACTCTCTCTCTCTCTCTTTTTCTCTCTGTGCTTTATTTCCCCTTCCCAGCCGAATTAATCTCTTTCTCTTACTTTTTCTCGTACCCCCTCCCCTTATTCACGGTTTCGAGCACGCTACGAAATTTCGCCGACAAACGCGCGCGCTTTCTAATACCTCGTTTCCTCGTTCGAGCGACAATTTAACGATCTAACACGTGAAATTTGTGGTCTATTTTGTCATGGATTTGTGATACGGCAACAGCAAGATTGCGAAGTTCTCTTGTCGAAAGGTCGAATTTAAAATCTCAAGATTCTGGAATATCGAAAATACGTTCTTCTCGAGAGACTAGAATTTGAAATCTGTCAATTCGAAAGTATCTAAAATCTATCGAAAATATTCTTCCATCTAAACATTAGACTTCCAAATCGTACGATTCTAGAATATCCAAAATTGATCGAAAATATTCCCCCTTGAGAAAGATAAGAATTTGAAAAAAAAAAAAAAGTGAACGCCTGTCTATCCACATTTTACCTTTTTCTTTCTTTCTCTCTTTTTTTCTCAGTTTTCTTTCTACGAAGAAATCCCCCCGGGGGAAATTGCGTCGATAATCGTGCCCTACACGGTTCGTCTGAAAATGTTCGGTTAAACACACTGAACCTTTTCGTTCCCGGTGTACTGGACCCTCTCAAGCATGGCGCTAGTTCGTCCGCGAAATTCGTTTCTCTACGTACTTTCAGGTCCCTGTGCACAACTCCATTGTGATGGCAGTGGTGTACGCTTTCCAGAATTTGTTGGATACAGTGCGACGCGTCCGCTTCGCTGTAGAATTCTCGTGCAACGATATCCTCGAACAGTTCGCCGCCCGTTACTCTGAAAATCACACGTCGAGAACACGTCTTTTTCATGTGAATTTCACATTCGTCTTAACGAGCGTGGCAAGAAAAAAGAAGAAGTTAGCGTAAAAATCTTTCGTGTTTGTTATCAGTGCCTTTGACCAATGATTTCTAGTGTCAACTAAATAGCTACGAAAATGTCCAGGTTGAGGAAATTGGGAAAATTAAAAGGGGAGTTTGTAGATAGTAGGGAATTGGGATTTCGGTGAAAATTAGGAAATTAAGGTGTGAGGATAAACAATTAGGGGAGTTCTGGTACTTGAAAGTTAGGGGAAGATTGGAAGGGCACAGATATTGGAAGATGTAGTTTCTGTGGAAAATAGAAAATTGAGAAATTATTGTAAGATTTTAGAAGAGCTCAGCTATAACAAAATTGCAATTTTAGGAGAAATTAGAAATTTCAAGAACGTCTAAAAAAAGTATTGCAAATTACGGTTCCAGAACATCTACGATAGATGAAAATGAAAACTAGCGATTTCAGGAGAAATCGAAGATTAGAAAATCGCTATTTCAAGAACGTCCAAAAAAAGTATTGCAAATTACGGTTCCAGAACATCTACGATAGATGAAAATGAAAACTAGCGATTTCAGGAGAAATCGAAGATTAGAAAATCGCTATTTCAAGAACATCCGAAGGAAAATATTGCAAATTACGATTCCAGAATATCTAAAATTTGTGAAAAATTTTAAACAAAATTTCAACGCAGTTAAAACGGAGCTAGAATCGATCGAACCAGCAATTAAGGTACTCTATCGCGATACTTTTCACCGCGGAACATCGACACTCCGCGACCATACGAGCTCGTTAATATGCAAATCGAATCTGATTAAAATTCAGGAGGGTGGACCGTTCGAATAATCAGCCGGTGACTGGTACAAATTAACAATTACCGGGCCAAGTCCCTGTAAGAGAGGAAAGAAAGGAAAAAGATGAAGACGTCGAGGAAGTTTCGTCGCCTGAATATGTAATTACGTCTTATGGATTCGTTGGTAAAAATCGCCAGTCACAGTGTATATACTACATGCACGATCAAGTTGTTACGTGTAACACGTTCGAACCATTAATCGTTAAATGAGAAAACGTCTCGTAGAAATGTAAGACACTTTTTCTGCAATTTTTGGGTGAAAACGAAAATCGTGAAATTTTCTGTGAAATTAATCGAGAAGCTTTTTCAAATTTATTAAGAACGTCTCAACTGCGACTGCAATTTTTGGTCCAAATGAAAATTGTCAAATTTTCTACGAAATTTATCGAGAAGCTGTTTCAAATTTATTAGGAATGTTTCGTCGAAATGTAAGATACCTCTTCTGCAATCTTTGGTCCAAATAAAAGTCACCAAATCTTCCATGAATCGTAATAAATTAAGAATTGACTAACCACGTGGTTAACCCTTTACTTGACCCTTTAAATTTGCTTCTAAAATCTGCTCGTTTCCTCCATTCTGAATTTAACACAGATTAACCCTTCCGAAAACAAGCAAATACAACTCCCCGTATCATACTTCAAAAAATAATTCTCCTAAATAGAAAAACAGACATTCTATTCCTTCGCATTCCTCAAACGTAAAATAAAATTCCCACACAAGACCTTCTTTCTAAACATCAAATTTCCCAACAGAAAGCTCGCGAAACAACCCTGCTCCTCGAAATTAAACGAACGATCCAGCCCTTGAACTCTGATTCCCCTTTGATTAGCCATCGAGGTGGGACAGGTGACTTTTCGTCTGTGGTTTCTGTGCGGCAACATTGGACCGCAAAAGGGATTAAAAGCGTCGAAGCATCGTCTGGTAAGGGGCAGGCGAGCACAAGCCAGGAGAGAGCTAGTTCGCCGGCTCGAAAATAACGCCTTTTGTCGAGCGTTCGGCCCGGGGCGAGACGACTTGGAGGCTTGGATCATCGCGCGAATTTTGGCCGGTACGGAGAGCGGAATCGGGCCGAGGTAACTTTGGTCGAAATTAAATTAAACTTGTCGGTCCGATAGGTCACCGATTTTCGAGCCCGTGATTCACCTTTTCCTCCGACAGGGCCAAAAACGTTGTAACTAAACGTGTTACGAAGTTTCTTTGTTACGCGAACGTTCGCTGAAGTTTTTCGATATGAACGGCCGATAATTATGGTTGGTAATCGAGTCGTTCGCGGGCAAAGCTCCTCTGCGAAGCTGTACTTTTCAGCGATACTTGTCCTTTTATGCTTGAAATAAATTTTGTTGATAACTAAGGGTGACACTGGTAAACGACAAACATTTTGATGGACGAGGATAGAGGAGATGATTAACTGGATAATTTAAAGTAAATTGTTGCAATAATGTAATTCGAACGCTTGTAAGAATTTAGTAATAGTTAATTTAGAGTAATTCAGAAGTTGAGTAATTTCGTCAATTTTCAAATTGGCAAACGAGCGACGTAATTGCGGATTTACTTACAAATCGAAAACAAGGTAATGGTAATTCTCCTCCTGTATGCTGTCGTGTAATCTCACTGTAACAGAAAGAACAAGGAAAAAGGGGTTAATAATGCGGATTTTTCGTATAATAAATTACTATAGTAATTGCTAATCCTTCTCTAAAATAAGGTAAAATGGTCAACAATGAGAAAATCAATTCTTTAAACAGATTAAAATACAAGCTTACAAGTACGTATTTATTTAAAAACAAAATTCTTCAATGTTTACTTTCCAACAAGCAATAAATCGAACTTCCCCAAGGCGGTGAAAAGGAGAGAAAATTTAATACAGCGAGATAATCGTAGCTCCGATCATTTCTCGAGAAACAAGCTGTCGAACGTCGTCCAGGTGAAGGAAAAACGGGAAGCCTCGAATTCACAGGAATACGAGGTAACAAAAAAAAGTGAAACGAACGAAACTGTATGGAGACAACGTCGCGTAGACGATTGAAGAAACGGAAGGAAAATTGTCGCGGTATCGTGCAAACGATCTTCACGGTCGTTGAACAAATTGCAGGCTCGCGTCGCATAGAAACGCTGCCATTAAACGGGTGGTCGGATTTTTGCCAGGTTAACCGTGCCCCCGACGTAGCCCAATTAACCTCTCGAAGGAGCGTTTCTCTTTTTTAGTTAACCAAACGGTCGCCTCTCGCGTGTATTTCCCGGTAATTTCGCCATTTTTCCACGCTTCGCAGGTGCCACTGGTCGTACATTGCTGGCCAAAAGTTTCGCGTTCCTCGGTTTGCGCCGATATCGAGTATGCTGGCGATTTCAGTGTCGTAAATTTGGTCTTCAGTCGTGATGAGATATTCTATGGTGAAAAAGTGACTTGGTGTTTAGGTTTAAGGGAAATGTGGGTGAAGGGTGCAAGAATTTTCTGGAAAATGAAGAACAAAGGCAATAGTAAGGCAAAGGAGAGAACTCTAAGATGCGGTCTTGAGAAATTTTTCTCTCGCTTTTTTTAAATAGCGATATTTAAGTTAAGGATCATTTTCAAGGGTTGCCTGGAAAATTCAGAATGAAGACAGTGAAGTGTGAACAGCGAACGAGAGAATTTTGACCTCTGAGATGAGGTCTTAAGAAATTTTTTGCTTTTTAAATAGCAATACTTAAAATTAGGATCATTTTCAGGGGTGTAAGAGTGCGAGGGTTGTCTGGGAAATGGAAAATGAAAGCTACGAAGTGTAAACAGCGAACGAGAGAATTTTGACCTCTGAGATGAGGTCTTAAGAAATTTTTTGCTTTTTAAATAGCAATACTTAAAATTAGGATCATTTTCAAGGGTGCAAGGGTTGTCTGGAAAATGAAGAACGAAAGCAGTAAAGAATGTGAATAGCAAACGAGAGAACTCTGACCTCTAAGATGTGCTCTTAAGAAATTTTGTTTTTTAAATAGCGGTATTTTAATTTAGGATAATTTTCCAGGGTGCAAGGGTTGTCTAGAAAATGTAAAACAAAGGCAGTGAACTATATGGTCTTGAAAAATGTTCTTTTTTTTTAAGTGGTAAATTTAAAAAAAAGACTCATGTTTCCCCTATTTTTTATAAATTCACAATTAACGTCGCAAGGCCCTTAGACCAAATATTCTCGAAGCTAACAATATCCCTCCTGAAGAATTCTTGTCTAACTTCCAATTTACAGAGTCAGCAAACTTTTCACCAACGCTGCATCTTTCCTTCCTTTTACCCCTCCATTTTGGAGAACGAGGGGGTAAAGAAGAGAAAGAGAGAGATCGTTGGAAAATGTAGCAACGAACCTCTGGAAACGTGTGGAATTAGCGTGGAAAATACGTAGACGGTTCGGTTCGTTGGTTTCGTTACCGGACCAGGATGGAATATAACGAGGAATTATTTAAGCGCGAAATATCGGGCCGTGAAACGGGAGGATCGATACGCGCGTGCACACGGTCGAGTATCATTTGCATCCGCGACAGTTTGCTCGATCACGACGTTCATTAAGGTCAACGAAGAGACATTCCTCGCGATACAAACCAATGGTCCCCGTCGAACCGGCCTTAATTAATGTCAAGTGAGGCTGGGTTCACGGGAAAATCGACGTCTCTAACCAAGCCTCCACAGCTTTATTCTCCGGGATGAACGAAATTGGAAGACACGTTCGGTGGTGATATTATACAATTTCAGAGACGATTCTATCTACTCTTCCCGTTCCAATGATTCGGAAATTTTAGCGTTAAATGCAATATGCATGGATCCATAATGTGACGGATCTTTCGGTGCCATTTTTAGACACTTTGATTTGGAAGATGCAGCCTAATAAAAATAATTCTTTCAATTTCAAACGCACAGTAGTTTCCATTTTCCTTCACCTTCCAAACTATTCTGAAAATTTTGAAAATTCCTCAAGAATATGTGGGGTTTTTGGTATGAAAGAGCGAACGTGGGGAGAGATAAGGAAATGGAGAGAGTTGGTGTGAATGGCCTGGAAAGACGATCGGTTTCAAGCCGATCGCGGCGTGTGTTTGACCAACGAACGAGAAGCATCGAACCGTAAATATTAAGAGAGCGAATTACATTTTCTGTGACAAATAAAGATGACACTGGTGGACAGCACCGGCGACAGCACAGTACTTTTAATTTAATATACATAAACAGTAATCAACAAAATCCCACAAATACGAGGAAGAGATATTTCAAATTAGCATTAATATTTAGCCTAATATACACGAATGCGTGATGGATTTGTTAATCGACCGAGAGGTACCATTTGGTGCCATTTTTAGGCACTTCGTTTTGGAAGATGGAGCCTAATAATAACAATTCTTTCTCCCGTTTTCCTCCACTCTCCTACCTATTCTGGAAACTTGCAAACGTCTCTACAAAATATGCTTCGAGTTAGAGGGTTAATATTCATTTTTGATGTAACCACCATCACCGATAAATTTCTTCCGTACCTTAAAATGGCTTTCACCGTTCATTTCCTAAATAACTAAACGACTCAACATTTCCCAAGCTGTTAAAGAAAGATCGCAATGGTTCCCCAGGAAGCATAAAAACACGTCGTCGGATCTAGACGTGTACAAACGATCAGGGCTCGTGTGCATCGGCTCGAGTGTCGAGCCGACACGGTGCACCGTAGTAGTTGGGGGGCAGAATTTAATGAAAATGGAAGAGATATCCGGAAGAACGAGACACCCGTTCAGACGGCAGATATCCTCCGCCCTTCATCCTTTTCAAATGATCCTCAAACCGATCAAACAGGGATGGGAAGGAAAGATGGGGAGCAGCCTATCTTCCCACTCTTTGATACCCTCGACCGATCCAATAAGGATCAAGAGGGAGCCGGAGATCAGAGAGAGAGAGAGAGAGTAGAACGAGCGTTATTATGGGAATTTTTATCGACGAAAAAACCGGGGGGACGAGGCCACGTTTCGAATCGGGGTAATTTTTCAACTACCTCGCCTGTCGTTCCACGCGATAAACGAACAATATATCCGAGGAACGTATTTCTGGGCGAAAGAAAAGGAATTTTCGTAGATTCGTGCGAGGAGAAATACGAGTTTTCCTTTTTTATCCAGAAGATGTATTACAGAATGCAATGGAATTTTTGTTTGTTTGTTTTTTTGAGGGAAAATTTGAGTTTTAGAAGGTTCCGTTATACGTTAACCCTTTGATGAAGGATGTAGAAGGGGGAATGTGAAGGGAGGGTGGCTCAAAAGGAATTGTTTGAATTATTTAAAAAAATACAGAACGAAGTTAATTTGCATGCTGTGTGGAAAATAAAGTTCAACAATGTAGCCTTACGTGTGTACACTGTAACAAGAAAAGATGAAATTTCATCCTTCCAAAAATTTCTTTCTTTAGAAAACATTGTATATAAAATATTAAACAAACCCAGTTACAATAGTAAACTAAAATTCGTTTAGAAATCATTGAAAATTTAAAAGGTAAGATTCATTGTCGTGTCCTCAACACGAACCACGCGACCGATCACCGACTTGCATCGCTTCTATCTACCTGGCAATAAGGGTTCGCGAAAGAGGCCTTTTTCTAGGAAAGGCGTTGATTGGCCCTTTTTCCGAATTAGCAGCTACAAAAAGATGTATAAAGGTAGCCTTCGCAAGCCCGAAAGCAGAATATGTACGGAGAGAAGCAGAGCGTGTACGGAGGGTACATATTAAAAAAAAAACCGAACAACGTAGTTTAACCTAAAACTAAACAACCAATAGGGAAACATCCATCGTGATATCTTCCAACCGAGAAATAAGATCACGGTAACAAACATTCATATCTCGAAAGAAAACATGCAATAAAGAAAGTTTCTGTCCAAAAGAATTTTTTCAAGAGAAGTCTGAAAATTTCGTGGTGACACTTGCTCTACTGCATCACTCTGTACATTTGAATCTATAGAGAAGTGAAAACGTTACAATACACTAGGAAAAACACTTGTACCGTTAAACCGACAATGCAGCTTTCGTCCATTCATCTATCCAGCAATGCAGGCGAAAGCGGTTAACTAAGGCGAAGTCGGCGAACAAACCGAGTCGGACAATTCCGGGAACGGCAAACAACGTTAATCTTGGCGAACAGAAGGAGAGACGAGAGTAAAGCAGCGTAACTATCGATCCCAGAAGCCACACCTCGACGCAGCGCGTCGCGAGGCTACGCGTTTTCACCATTTCCCTCGCAGCTCAACTTTTCCTCGGCCTCCGTGTCGCCCCTTTGGCATTCAACTTCCGTTCAAATGTCACGCGTACTCTCTGCTCTCGCGATTTATCTTCCGGTGGAATTGTCGCACTACGGGAAAGGTCCAACTCCTGCGCCATTTTCGTGTTACGAGTACCGCTCCTTCGCGTTCGAAAATGATAAACCCCTGCTTCGGAGATGACGAGATCGTATTTTTTTTTTTTTTTTTTTTTTATTCGTTGTTGCATTGAGAAGTTTTTTTTACTAATTTTGAATTGGTAACAATTTTCGTGAATCTGGGCTGTTTCAAATTTAAAATTATTGGAAATTTAGGATATTGGGAATGTTTCTTGCGAATGTTTGCTTATGGTGTCAAGGGTGATGGGATTTTTAG